TTTAGGGTTTATAGAGTTGATAGGGTTTATAGGGTTTATAGGGTTGATAAGACTTATAGGGTTTCGGGTTTTAGAATTTGGGGCTTAGGTTCTAGGATTTAGGGTTTTTGGGGTTTACATGGTATAGGGCTTAGGGAGTATACGCTTTAAGGCTTACGCTGGTTTTTGGGCTGTACGCAAGGTCTAGAGCGGGTAGCGTTTCTAGGCATAAGGTGTGGGGTCTAAGGCTTAGCCTGCAGAGTTTTGGGATTGCAGCAGTGCAGAGGTCAGGGCTCAGAGTCTAGTTTTTCGGACGTAAAAAGGGCACAATCCTTAAGGGTCCAAGGACCCCAAAAATCGGGTTTCAGGGCCCAAGCCCTAAAATATTAATGGTATTTGGGCCCTAAAGCCCTATTATTTGGGTCCTTGGACCCGTAGGGAATGACATACCTGGTTTTGCGGACTCCTCTTACGGCTAAGGACTGTATGGGCACACTCTCGTGACACGTGTGTTCCACAAGTTCTCTGGGGTTTTCTCAAAATTGGAGTGCTATAGCAGCTTAGCATTCTGTAAGCACATTATTGGGGGTAGATGCTGGGTGGATCAATGACGTGCTGAAGAAAGAGATTGAGCCAGTTCGGGTTAATCTAGGGTGGGTTTCGACAAAAGACATTGCTCAACATGACCCGAAGATAGCTAGGAGCATATCCCTCAATATCCCTCATTGCTTTACATCCTCTAGTGCCGAGGCCCTTTAAATCTGGTTCGGCAACAGCTTGAGCCTTATACACGATGCCCACTTTCAATATTCCAGGGCCCCTAGTGTCAAGGGGGTTGTTAAAACTAACTAGTTAATGGAAGCGCCACTAAGGTCCTAGGTGTACCCTCGATGCAGAGGACGCCGAGTGTATTAGAGTGAGGTTTTGCCTGGCCTCGTTGGCGGAGGAACTATGACCCTGGCGTGAAATCCTACTACTCCGCTGGTTCCAGACAAAGAACAGAACGGAAAAAATCACTACCAACTTGTGTCCTGCCGCAGCGGTACTATGGATTCGAGTCATGTCATACAGCCGCAACAATAGCTAGGTGGCAAATATGGTAGTTTCCCAAAATAGGGGGGAGCCCAATATACACCCCAAAATACTATAGTCCTTATTATGGGGACCCCCAAAATGGTACCCTAATTTTGGGAAACGCCCATATAACGACCTAGGTTTGGCGAGACACGTCTAGTTCTTCAGTCCTGGCCGAACCAAAGCCCTGAACGTACCATCCAGAAGCCCAAATCCTCAAACCTCTACCTGAACTCAAAGGTGCGTAGAAGACATGCCTTTTGGGCTCGTGTCTAAGGGTCTTGCGCCATGATTTTCATATTGGGGGTCTGGATTCAAAAGCTCAAAATCCTAAATGCTCTGAATGCGAAGCCATATCCTAGACCCTCCTTCTACCCTCTATTGTATCTTAAATAGCCATCATTAGGGAGTATACGCCCCTACTTAAGGGTATACGGAGGTCCTGGTAGACCCTAAGCCCTAAACCCTAAACCAGAAAGAAGGTCCGAGAGAAAGAACTAAACCCTTGAAAAGCCTTGAACCCCAAACCCTGAACCCTGAACATCCTTCCCACAGCGAGCTTGCCTGATGCTTTGAGAGTGCTTAGCCCTGGAACCTTGAAGCAGTGGGTAGTTCAGAAGGGGGAGTGAATGTGCGTCCTTGTGGTGTTTTTTAGGGTTTTAGGGTTTAGGGTTTAGGTCGGATTAGGTCGGACGTTTTGAGGTGAGTGCCTTTTTTGCTCTGTTTTCAGTCTTTGCCGATGCTTTGTCAGAGGCACAGGCCCTATGGAGGCAGTTAAGTGTTGCGCTGTTCAGGCGACTGGCCGGAAGGCTTTGCGACTAAAGAGCTAACTGGAAAAAGGTCCGAGAAAAAAAACAATTGAACCCTAAACCCTGGAAATGCTAAGGACATGTGCCTTGGAGAAAAGGTCCCATAAAAAAAACGTAAGCCCTAACCTACATAGGGTTCAAGGAGGATCCTTAATGTGAGACTGCCCTGAGGTTGGTCCACCAGGAGGAGCTGGAAGTTGAACAGGCTCGCTTTCAAGTTCTTTGAGTTTGGTGTTTATTTTCTTGAAAAATTGTTGGGTGTTTAGGGTTTAAGGATTTTTGGTGTTTTTTTCAACTTTGGGCGGGTCAGAGCTTAGGTTTTTTTAGTGTGTTTTTTCAAGGTCTTCAGGTTTAGAGTTTAGGGTGTTTTTTTTCAAGTTCTTGGGGTTTAGGGCTTAGGCTCATCATGGTTCTGGCCTTAAAGCCTACTGCTTCTCCCGCCCATCCTCCCCTCCACCCTAGATTAAGTTTTAATTGCCGGCATTTACCTGCTGAGTTTCCCAAGCTGCACAAAAAAAAGGAGGCGGCTGCAACTGGATCCGCGAGTATTTCTTTTAAACTAGAGCCCAAACCCTGACCAGTGGATTCTGAAACTCTTCAGCTGAAAAAATCTAAGCCCCCAAACCGAATTCTCAAACCTAACCCCTAGGCCCTAGACCTTAAATCCCAAACCTTTACACCCAAACCCAAAACCAAACCCAAACCCCCAAACCCTAAACCCTACATCCTAATACATGTATTCCAACACGCCAGGCTGCAAGTCAAGAACCTGCATTGATGAATTCATGGGTGTTTCTGCAAGCCCTGTATATTACCTCGGATCATGAGGTGCCCTGAACCTACGCCCGCTCCCTTGAAGCGAAATCTAAGACGTGTAGGTAGACACAGCGCCAACCTGGGATCAAAACACTGCAAGCAGGGTATGATAACGAAATGTGCGTGACAAAGACCTGGCAAAGTACCAGCACCTACCGCGCAAGAATGATATTAGCCAGGAGAAGGTTACTTGGAGGGACAGGGGGACTTAGTAGTAATATTCATAAGCTCTATAATCCAGACAATAAACCTAGTTGTCCCCATCAGTAGCCTTCTTTTTAAATCCAGCTGACCAGCCAAGTACGCATGCTAACTCAATCCGCATCCTGCCCGTTTCTCTTCACAACGGCACATGGGCATTGCAAGTCAGAAGTGAGGGGACTAACATGAAGTTGGGGCGTTCCTGGTTCAGGGCTTAGGGACCTTACTTTGCCTTTGGTGCAATAACCCTGTCTTAGGATACAGAACCCATTGAAGCTCTCAGTCCTCCCCCAGAAACCCTGAAACCTCCAAGGTCCCAACCCTGCATCGCCATACACCCAAACCTTCAAAAACTAGACCTAAACCCCATATCCTTCAACGCCCCCCCTGCCCCGAAAACACCTAGACCTAAACGTATATAACCCATATATAACCACTACCCCAAAACCCCAAACCCTGTATAACCCTATTATAGTAGT